ATAAGGGGAGAAAAGATTGAAATTGTCCAAGACTTCATTTTGCTCCAATCAACCATCAACCTTCATGGACGCAGCAGCCAAGAAATCAAAATTACGTATTGCATTAGGCAAATCTGCTGCACAAGACTTCTTTAAAGTGTTGAAAAGCAAAGATGTCAGTTTAAGGAGTAAGGTGTACCAGACCCAAGCCATGGTATTTTCAATAACCTCATATGCATGTGAAGGTTGGACAATGAATAAGGAAGACCATAGAAATATGTCTTTCATTCTTTAAACATATTACCAGGAAGGACCAGTCCCTGGAGAAGGATATCATGTTTGGTAAAATAGAAGGCTGGAGAAAAATAGGCAGACCCCCAACAAGACAGAGTGGCACAATGGCAGCAGCAATGGACTCAAGCATAGCAACAACTGTCAGGTTGGCACAGGACCAGACAGTGTTTTGTTCCATTGTGCATGGGTTACTGTGAGTTAGTATAACAACACCTAGTCAAAACCTACCCAACTGCGCAGAACAGCAGAAGCATGTATGAAACAAGGGAATTCTTCCACATTATAAATTTTCATATCCCTACAAAGGAGACTTAAAACATTCACTGATGAAGATTAAAAAGCACAGCCTTCAGTACTCAATGTCAAGAAAACAAAAATCCTCACCATTGGACCAATAAACAACATTCTTATCAATGGTGAAATGATTGAAGTTGTCAAGGACTTCATTCTTCTTGGATCAACCATCAACACTCACAGAAGCATCAGTCAAGAAACGAAACATCGTATTGCATTAGGCAAATCTGCTGCACATGATCTTTTTTAAATGTTGAAGAGCAAAGATGTCAGCTTGAGGATTAAGGTGTGCCTGACCCAAGCCATGGTATTTTCAATAACCTCATATGCATGTGAAAGCTGGACAGTGAATAAGGAAGACCGTAGAAGAATTGATGCTTTTGAGTTATGGTATTGGAGGAGAATATTGAAAGTGCCATGGGCTGCCCATAGAACCAACAGATCTGTGTTGGAAGAAGTGCAGCCAGAGTGTTCCTTGGAGGCCAAGATGGCCAAACTTCGTCTCTCATACTTCAGACGTATTGTCAGGAGGAGCCAGTTGCTGGAGAAGGACATCATATTTGGTAAGGTGGAGGGTTAGAGAAAAAGAGGAAGACCCCCAACGAGACGGACTGGCCAAGTGGCAGCATCGATGGACTCAAGCATGGCAACAGTAGTAAGGTTGGCCCATGATTGGGCAATGTTTCATTCTGCTGTGCATAAGGTTGCTATGAGTCAGTAGCGACTCGATGGCACCTAACAACAACCCCAGTGGCATACACCTGGCCATCCTCAGTTCTGTCACCCCTGGGCCCACATGAGAAGCAGAATCTGAATGTCTTTGGCATGTGGAAACTGCCCCTTATTACTCCCTCTCTCAAAGTGGACTCATATTCTCTCCTCTCCCATGTTCTTAATTCTACACAGAGGTTCTGCCATTTGAACCTACCCTAGTGCTTACTGTACCTGTTAAGTTTCAGGCGAAGCCCTCTGTGACCTACAACATGAAATCAGTTTTGCATGCAGACTAACAGACAAGTGTCCATAGTTCAAATTGTAGCACACTTTCATTTGTCCTTAACACAGACAGATAGGACTATCGAAGATCATCTTCAAAAACACTGGCCTGAAACTCAAAAGAAATGTCCCTAAAGACTTACCGCTGGCATGCCTTCCCCACGACATGCTGTCGGCACTGGCAGTCTCCAGAAGGCCCACTGCACGTGGGGGTTAGAGCCCCACCAATGTCACATTGACACCCTGAAAGTCAGAAAACAGCAGCAGTTACCCGTCACACCATCTATTATGGACTGAATTGTGTTTCCCAATATAGGTATACTTAAGACCTAGTCCACTACCCATGGATGTGACCTAATTTGGAAATCGTATCTTTGCAGACGTAATTAGAGGGTCCTAACACAATAAGACTGATGTCCATAGAAGATGAAAAAAGACAGAAAGACATATATGGAAGACAGCTGGCCATATGAAGGTGAAGGCAGAGACTAAAGTGATACTTCCATAAGACGAGGAATGCCTGGGATTACCAGAAGCTGGAAGAGACCAGAAAGATTCTCCCCTAGAGCTGTCAAAGAGAATATGGCCAGTCAGCACCCTGAGTTCAGGCTTCTCTCCTCCAGAGTCCTGAGAGAACACGGTTCTGGTGTTCTAAGCCATTCTCTCTGTAGTCATTTATTAAAGCAGCCCTAAGACACTGTGTGGCACTGTGAGTTAATGCACCAGACTCCAAAGCCGTTTGAACTGCAAGGTCAGTGGTTCAAGCTCACCAGTCACTCCTCGGAAACCCTATACAGGGTTGCTATGGGTCAGAACGACTCGACGGCGCTAACAACAACACCACCAACAAGAAGACACTAATACACTTTCTCCTCCATGCTGAATGCTTCCCCTCTCTCTGTGACAATAATCAATAATCTAGGTATTGAAGGGGTCCTCTTTCCCCTGCCACATCTTATACTTGAAAGGGGCTCTAAACTAAAACAGTGTTCCACTACAAATCAGCTGGTAAATTGGAGGAAGCAAGCTATAACCCTGGTGTCCAATCCAAAGGTAACAGAAATGTTGTTAAGTGCCGTCGAGTGGGTTCCGACCCATAGCGACCCTGTTTCCAAGGAGCAGCTGGTGAGCTTGCATCACTGACATTGTGATTCAAACTGACTTTGCTGTCCAGAGCATGAACCCATAGCGCCACACCAGGACTCTATCAGAAATGTACTACTAGTATAAATAATGTATGCTAAAGAGTAGCGTGCAAGAGATAAAAGAGCAGAATTGTGGGGCAACTGTCCTGTATTAGTTAACACAGCATCATTTCTTTAAAAAAATTTTTTTAAAAAACCTAAGGGAATTAGATGATTCTCCCCCTTCCCAATTCATGTTGTTGTAATTGTTGTTGCTAAGTGCTGTCCAGTAAGTTTCAACTTGCAGCAACCCTGTATAGGGCTTCCAAGGAGTGG